TGCTCTAAATAAAAAATGGATGATGGAGGAGACTCATCCACGACCTCTGACCCTAAACTCTCCTCCTCTTGCATGTTTCTGCCGTCCATAGCGTTCCTTGACAGTCTTTGTTTTTATTGGAGCAAGCTATCAGTTTTCTGTGTAGCACAGTTTGAATCCAAATTCTAAAAAGCTCAACAGAAAACATAGCAAGGACGTGTTTGTAGAACTTAACCTAGAGAGCAGGTAGGGAGAGTAGAAGCGGCTCCATCCCCACAGTGAAGCATGGAGGTGATGGTTTGTAAAATCTGAAAGGACTGGAAATATTCAGCAAAGAGGAATATTTAGTTTCTAGATGCACAGAGCTGATTGTGACACAACCCAACAAGACGTTCAGCTTTCAATGGTACAGAAAGTCTGTCTGCAAGTAATAACTTAGACTAAATAAATGTGCTTACAAAAGCTTCCAAATGTTTAATTTGAAAACCTGTTATTGTTTTTCTTCCTCTGTAAATTTTTTATCCACTTTATGTCAATCTATCTCATAAAATCCTAGTAAAAACATACTTTTGAAGAGGTAGGAATTTAGAAACATCAATAAATATGACTTTCTGTTTCCCACATGGTCTAACTATTTCTAATGGAAGTTATTAAAGAGTAATATTAGTCAAAGATAATCTGTGTGTCCAGCTTTTGTACATTTCCAAAATGTTAGATCCAGACTTTTTGTTTAATTGCTGAAACAATTAATCAGTCACAGAGAAATACGATAATTTTAACTGTTCTTTAATGAGACGCTGTGTTGTGTGCATAAGACTGCATCAGTTATTATGCAACCCCTCCCACCACCCGCCACCCCATCCACCCGCTGGGAAGCACATCAGAGTAATCATGTCACTGGTTTAGATTGAAATTTAATACAAGCCACCGGCTGAGCAGCGGAACGTTTTGTCACCGTCTGGTACGGGACTCCTCTCTGCAAGAAACCTGGGCTTCACTGGGAGTCTCACTCTTCCTTAAAATTTCCAATTTGAAAGTGAAAGTGTCCAAGTAATTGCTGAAGTAAAGTTACAGACGGCTCACAACAAAACTCTCGTCATTTTCCCTCGCACAGGAAAAAGATCGAGACAAAAGGGACAAGGACAAAGACGGCAAGGAGAAAGACAAAAAGGCTGTGAACGGACATCTGTTTACAGCAGTCAGCTCCAACCAGTCCATCCAGTGCTCCCAGTGCAATAGAGCTTTTA